AATCCACTAAACACTACACCCTAAACCCCGAAACCCCAAAGTCCACTAAGCACGAAACTCTAAAATCCTAAATCCCCTAAACCCGAAACCCCTAAATCCACTCAACGCCAAAGCCCCGAAACCCGAAACCCCAAATCCACTAAACACTACACCCTAAACTCCTAAACCCCCTGAACCAGAAACCCCTAAATCCACTAAACACTACACCCTAAACACCTAAATTCCCTAAACGGGAAACCCTAAATCCACTAAGCACCACCCTACACTCCTAAATCCCCTGAACGCCAAACCCCTAAATCCACTAAGCACTACACCCTAAAACCCTCAATCCCCTGAACCCCTCAACCCCTAAATCCACTAAACACTACACCCTAAACCCTGAATCCCCTGAACCCCTCAACCCCGAAGCCGGGCCTTCGAGCTGAAGAAGCGTGCAAAGCTCTACCGCGCTTCGCCAGCCTAGGGGTTTAGGGTTTGGGGTTCAGGGCTTAGGAGTTTGGGTTTGGGGGTTTAGGTTTAGGGTTTAGGGATTCGGACTGTTTCAATAGGCCAAGAGGCTTGTATCAGGGTCAAGGGAGTAATTGAGGGTTTGGCTGCTTTTTTTTCTGAAGGTTTTATGGCATTCATGAGCCTAAAAGGGTTACAAGGCCATTACAGGCTCTGATAAGCGTGGTATAATTTCGATACCGTTTTGGATGGAAAGACAGGCACGTTGAAATGGCCATGAAATTGTCGACGCGTAGCGCTCACAGGGCCCCAGCTTACGGCTCAGTCCCAAGAGAGGGCCTAAAGATGCCAATCCTGCGCGAAAGCTGCCACATCAACATCGGGCTGCTGGGGGAATTCGGGTTTCCTGGACGCCCTGAGCTGTGGATTCAGCCGTAGGTGCCACAAAGCAGCTACTCTCTTTGCTCACACGAAGAAGAACAAGAAGAATAACAATAACTACAAATACAACTGGTTGGGTTGGGTCATGGTGCCCGTGCATGTGTCGCCTCAATATGTAAGGTTATTATATACTAAGTATACCCTACACCCCTTTGTAGCATTCTCAGTTGACCTACACAAAGACAGTTTTGGGGCTCTTGGGGTCGAGGATCGGCATTTCTGCTTGTTGCACGGGTCTGGACTGCGGAAGACCTGTGCTACGCCTGCTACACTTCTGGTAGCCCGGCCAGCGCGGCACTCATGGCCCTTTCGAAGGCCTCCAGATCGAGCAGCATATAGTCCGTGACATTCTGAGAGGCATCTTCGACATAAACGTGGTAGTATCTTAGCCAAGTCGATCCCCCATCCATGTTCCAGTACGTGGCATACCGGATCAGGTTGCGGTTGCCCTCGTGGGTGCAGCCTCGCACCTTGTAAGCATTTTGAGAACAAATGAACTCAACTGCTGCAGGGCGTCCTTTGCATGGCATCCACAGCACGTTTGACATGCCTGTTCCATGAGGGCCAAACGCAACGGCTGCTGAATTGAAGAGACGATGTTGCTGAGCGAAAGTGGCCTTCTTACCTTCCCAGGTGCCGTTGAAAATCACCAGCGACTCGGGACACTTGTACTGGGTCATGTAATTGCGGGTAATCTCCAAAACTTTGTCCACGTGCTCCGGAACCAACCAACGCCCGTGCCCAGTCTTTGGGCTCTCGAGCAGCATACACGATTGACCTGATGGGCTCCTGCGGATGTACGCTGAACATCAGCTCCGCAGAAGTTCCGGGTGGCTCATCGCAGCAACAGGCACCAGCACGCTAAGGGTCTTGGCACAGACAGTGCGCCCTAGCGGAATGAACTTGGCTCTGTTGAAAAATGCCGGATCAAACCACGCCAGGAATTCTGGCATTTTGGTGAAAGTCTTCAGGCCATCACCCCACGACGCATCCGGATTATGCTCCATGATACAGACTATAGTGGAGGAAGGACGTCGTGATTCGCGGCCCCGTAGATAAACCTTCCAAAGGAGAAGCCGCGAAAGAAAACAGCAGATCCGCTCACATGCTCGTCGCACGTAGACAGGTCTGCATTGGCCAAGGTTATACCAGTTCTTCCAACCGGCACTTCTGAGAACTGCGTTGTCCTTGCAGCCTACAATGAGCGTCTTCCAGTCTTGGGGTACTGCACTGAAAGGTGTATACTGCATGCCCGATGGTATTTCGACAATCTTAAAGCTTCGGCTGGCATCCAACGCAATCAGCTTTTCGAATTGATACCTAAAGCCCTTGTGTGCGCCTGGTTTCGTCCGTCGTTGAAGCGAGCTGATGCCAGTAGCTGTGCCTCCTTCGGGTGGAAATACTCGGAGGTGCACTGCGCAGTGTCATGCGAAGGCCAGGACGTGTGTGGCATTTTGTTCGCAAGTTTCTGTTCTACAGCTATCTGCTTGAAAAGCAGTGACGAGTTCTCTTCAGAATGCACAGATGACATGAGCCGTGGCAGCGATATCACCATCGCTGTAAATGCCAGGAACATCGACACCCTGACAACGACCGTCAGCTTTGCCATGGACGCACAGCTGGAGTGATTAAGAAGGGACTTCATGATTTTAGTTACTTGGTTCAAGTTGGAATGTCGCTGAAGTTCTTCTATAGTGACCCCTGCGACGCTCGCTGGCTGCTACGGTATTTTGGCTTGCTGTGTAAAACTTGAGTGGAAGCTGCTGTTGGGGCTTTCTTGCAACGGGCCTTGCAGCAAGCAACTTCTTGGAGCTTCATGGCTGAGTATGTGAGGGGACAAGCCCTGACCCGGCCGAACTCTGAACGAAATTGGTCACATGCCTTGTGTGGACAGAAGGAGCCTACATAGCAACCTCTTGATGGTGTGTTTTTTTGGGGTACAGGGCTTGGGGCTTCAAGGTTAAGCTTCAAAGCTAGGGTTTTCGGGTTCAGGATGTCTGAATGAACTCCGAAGTGGGCGAAGGGGATTGCTTATGTGCCTGCTGCGGGGTGGCATCTTACGGAACTAAGCACCAATATGCTAGTCCTCCAGACAGGGCGATGCACACCACGCAAAACCGAACACAGAGAATATTCTCGGGCTGAGTTTCCCACGACCGGCTTCGATCATGGCGGCTGCGGCCTGTCACTGTTGTAGGGTTTGGGGTTTGGGGTCAAGTTCATGAAGCCTCGAGAAAAATCACCAGAAGCCCGATTTTAGTTCAGCCCTACATCCTACAACCTTTAACCAGTTGAAACCCCTGAACCCAAAAACCAAGGCCCCAAACCCAAGGGCCCGAAGGCCTAAGGCCCGAAACATTGATAAAAAGCGCAGGATGCCAAGAAGCTCCTAGCAGCCACGAACGACGCCCCCAAACATACTCGTTTCAGGCAATATCCCTTTATTCGTGTAGGCTTCAGTACTTTGTCCTTGTGTGTCCTTTTGCCTCCGAACTCCCCTGAATTGTCCACTAAACCTGAAAAACCCTAAGCCTAAAACCCAAAACCCCAAAGCCTACCTCAAACCCTGACCCCCCCGAAACGAACAGCAAAAAGCACGCAGGGACGGCCGTGTTGAAGGACACCGTGTCGGCAGAGGGAAGACCGGCCACTCCCGACCTCTCGATTGTACTGAAGCTTTAGGGCTTTTAAGGTCTTCAGGCTTTCTCGGGCTTTGGGGAGGTGTGGGGCTTTAGGGCAATGGGGGCTTGAGGGTTTAGGGCTTTCGGGTTTAGGGGTCATTTTCGCAGGGTGTCATTGCGGTCGTGTGAGGTTTAGGGATTTGCTTCGCGCTTTGTATAGGGTTTGATTCGGGGTTAGGGATTTGTGCAGGGCTTGTACAGGGGGTTACAAGGGCCAATACAGAACCCCTAAATGATTTCAAACTGGCCCAGGTGCATTATTGCAGCGCGATACAAGAACTGCAAGTTCGTGGCTTGGGGTGTAGGGTGTTGTGAGTAAGGCTGTAACATTGTAGGGTGGACGGTTTGGCTTCGAGGGTTTTGAGGCGTAAGGCTGGAGGGTCTGGCATTCGGGCCCAAAGTCCGGACTTAGGGTTTAGGGGTGCTTGCGCTTTCAGAAATCCTGCGTGACACATAGGCCGACATATCGGACAAGTTCTGTCTTGCGACAGAAAGTTCAGATTGAACCCCTAAACCCTACAACCAAAACTTCAAGTTGAGCCCATAAATCCTTAAAAACAAATCAACCAACCAGCAACTCAGTTCCCCATCCGGGAGTTATAAGGCTGTGAGTCGCAAACATATGCTGAAGAGGAAACGGGGCGAAAGGGTATTGATCTGTCGGGCACGCTTCTGGATGTGGGCAGTGTTTAAGGCTTTGGGCACGGGGTTTGGGGCGGGTTTGGAGGTGCTGCGTTGATCGTTGCATGTTGGGGTGTAATGTAGGGGCCGAAAAGATTAGAATAGGGTTTTGGGCCCCTGCATAGTATACTTAAACAAGTAACCCTAGGGAATGCGACTCGTAATTTTGTATTAAGGCTTCCATATTAAGGGTCTGATGATTCGAGTTTCAGACGGGGGCTCGGGGAGTAAGCTCTCGCAATGGTCAAACCTGACGTGGGGGCTAATGCCATTCGGGTTAAGCACAGCTAGGCCTCTTGGACCCTAAACTCCAAACCCAAAGCCCAAGACCCTGAACTAAAGGCTTCAGAGGCTTAGGGTTTTTTGTGCTACGGCCGCGTGCCTCATTTGTTGGAGAAGCTCTGCTGCCCAGTCCTCAGCCAACTGCTTCGGCCAACCAAACTCCTGTGGCCAAACCTATGAACCCTGAACCTTAAACCCTAAACCCTAAAACCCTAAACCGAACACGAACCCTAAACCTACGACCCCAAATCCCGACACCCTGAGCCCGAAATACCAAATCGAACAAGACTCGAAGCTACCCCTTGTCCGCACTCCACTTCCTGTCCTAGCATGCAGCCCAAACAGCCCCCCGTCCGGAATGACAGTCGTCGGAAGTGCGTCCCATTTTGGGTCCATTCTATGTTGGCTTAGTTTAGAGGAGAGCACATGGCGGCTGCTCAGACGTCAAGCCTGCCATTCTATGCCGGGGTTGAGGGTGAGGGGCTTGGGGTATGTTGTGAAGCGTGGTGCTTTACATGTCGGGGATCAGTTTACCTCGAAGGCCAAGATCTTTGATGCTGTTTGGTGGTGACCCCTACTACGGCCGTTTCTCTGCGAATGTTGCTTACACCGTGACTACCAGATCTATCACTTCCAACTCATAGATGCTGCGGTTCGATTGTTGACCTCATTATTGCCACTGCTACCGCTACTGGCATCATCAACATGATCATTACCCTTGCCCTTGCAGTTCTGAATTTAAGTTAGTACTGATAGCCTAATGTAAGTAGTGTTGTTGCTAGTCTCCATGTTGGTTCTATTGTTGCTGAGACTACTCGCACCCGAAAATCTTAACCACGAAATCCCGAAGCCTGAACCTAATCTTGCAAAACCTTTAGCACGATTTGCCGTCTCGACGGAAGATGTCTAGACCTGAATCGATTTTAGCCCCTGGGGCTTTATGGTGGGGGGGCTTTGTACTAGAAACTGTCTGTGCTCAAATTTGAACCCTTAAAGCCACTCAATAAACTCCGAAAGGCCCGTCCTAGGCATTATTATACTAAACATACTCCAAATATGAGGGAACCGGACCGTCGTTAGGCTTCTCACAGCCGAAACTCCAACCACTCAAATCTATCAGCTTGAGATTTTTTGGGTTTATGGTCTGGGATTTTGAGTTTACGGAACCCTAAACCCTAAACCCATTGTAACCATGCAGAATGGCAGGCAGAGAGCGATGAATCTTGAACCACAAGCCCCCAAGACCTTCAAACCGGGAAACCAACCCTTATAGACTTTAGACCATATAAGCAATTCCCACCAAGACCTATGAAACCCGAACAACAACTACGAGCCCTTTGCAAGCGAAGAGAGCCCCCAAGCCCGCAAGCCCTAAACCCCAACACTCTATAATTCCCCCGCGAGCTCGCAGGAAACTAAGGTCCCAAAAGCCCTAAACCCCAAAACTTTGGAATAAAACAACTTCGCCGAAGGGCCCAGCGTTGGCCTTTGCCCAAAGCAGCCAAGGCCGCGTTGCAGGTGACAACGCTGGGTGCCGGACCGCCGTGCCTGAAATGTTCAGGGGCGGAAAGTTTGGGGCACGGAAATGGTGCTTAGATTCTGTTATACTACACTATATCAGCATACATCTTATATTAGACTCTATTATGTTTGTTGATGCTCTTTGCTTTACTCATATGGTGATTTTTGTCGGACCGACGCCGTGGGACGAGGCGCGACTCTGGGAACCTTGATGGTTAGTTCTCTTGTGTTCCCTAAATACGCATAAGGCTTAAAGTTTAGGTTACATCGCGGTTGAATTCAAGACCCTCCAAGACACGGAAACTCGCGGGTTGGGTTATAAATCTCTGCGGGGCTGCAGGGCCCAGTCTTTCACATTTCGGGGTTCAGCAAGTTTCGTTTACTAGGATTTCGATTCTTCAGCTTCGGCTTCATGCGAACTGACCAGGGCAATCTTGGACCAGTGTATCTCGACCATGGTCTAGATTGATTCTTTGACATACACCTGCGCACTCTGAAGCACTGTGATTTCTAGACTCCACCGCAAACTTAACAGTCTGGAAGGAAGAAGCGTTATTGCTCCTTTGGATTTGCTGTACAGATATGCCACTATGTACTCCTGAAGCCCTCTGCAGACTATGATATACAAAAGCTTGAGGCCTCTCTCCTCCCTCCGGTGAATTGGCAGATCGATCGGCCTCATCTCCGCAAACATCTGCAGAGCTGCCTCCCATCCTTGAGCACAGCAAGACCCTTATGACACGCGCACAAGGACTGAGGATCCCTGGCACTGGCTTCAAGGGGAGCCGGTGGTGGATAGAGAGTGGTGCCGGTATGTGGGGCGAGGGTGGTGAGGGTTGGGACAACTTCCGCCTCCTCCCTACATACTAGTACTAGAACAGGCCTTGCAGGGTTTAGGCGTAAGAGAAACTTTCAATGAATAGCAGCAGCATTCCCAGACTAATGATAGGCAATAGCACTATAACATATCCTAACACCCGTGTTTACTTCTTCAGACCCCTTCATCCTGCTGTGGGGAGGTGGCGTCCAGGCTCTTGCGCCCAAACCCCTGAGCCGTACACGCCTAGCCCCACCCTGAACCCTATCCTAACTACTAAACTGCATCCAGAAACGGCGAAGACGCTCTGACTTGATTCCATAGATACCGTGCACGCTGCACGCACCCTGCAGACAAACACATAGCACAAAAGATAAACGTATGAAACCCCTTATATACATCCCTCTACGGACATGCTTATGTCGAAGTAGACCCTGAAGAAAGACAGAAAGAAAGAGAGACACCTCAAAAGCGCTCTAAGGCCCCGGCCCGAGGCTTTTCCCAGTGCGCCGAGACCTTCCCGAGTGGGTATCGTGAATCTCTGAAAGTTTCGTTGGGCTCTTTACGATTTTGAGGGGGTTCTATGAGAGTTCGATAAGGGTCTGGCAGAGTTTCTATTCCAGCTCTAGTATAAGGGCTCTACGCCAAGATGCTGTGTAGAGGGGTTCTGTAGGATTTCTGCAAGGGGTTTCAAGAGCTCCCTGTAAACGTTTTTATGCAATGGTTCTACACTGGCTCTAGAATGGATCCACAAGGGCTTCACAGGGGTGCCTAAAAAGGAGCTTAGAGTTGATCTATAGAGGTTTAGGCTTTGGGTGCTTTAGAGCCAGTAAACCCGAAGCCTTAAACACTAAACCTGAAACCCGAAACCCTAAACCCCAGGGGTTCAAGGGTTCACGGCTTACGAGCTTTGGGTTCCGAGGTTTTGGTTATTGGGAATCGGAGCTTGGGGGCTACGGGATGCAGCGGTTTAACGGTCTAGGAGTGTAGAGTTCAGGAGTTCAAGAACTGAGGAGTTCAGGGTTTAGGGTTTGGGTTTAGGGGTTTCGGGTTCGGGAGTTTTGGCTTTGGGGAGTTGGGCGTGTTAGGGTCGTTCAGCTTGGGGCTTTGGGGTTGCGGGCTCTTGCTGTGTAGGTGTGCCAGAATCGGCAAAGTCCGATGAGTCAGCGGAGCTGAATCGAATTGGAACGTCAGTCAAGTTATAGAAATAATCCTGGCACTCAGCGAGGCGGGGTTTGGTACGCATTGAGCCGTGGACTCAGGAGGTCTGGAAGGGAGGGTTTCTCGGTTGCGGGGAGGGTCTGGGGATGTTTACGGTTCGGGTTGATGTGGACACCGAAACCCCGAACTTTCCACAGAAGCCAGAAACGCATCAGATCGGACAGGAACCCTCTGAACTCGAACCCCGAGGTCCCCATCCCAGCACCCCCCCAAACCTATACACAAAAGTCATGCGCATTTGAGGTTGCTGCAGCAGGTAAAGGTGTAAGCATCTGCAGGGTAGCCATCGCCTCTGCCCTAGGCAGGCTCAGGGCTTACATGTTGCGGCTTGGACGTCGGAGGCTCTTTCAACTGTGAAAAAATGCTCAAACTTCACAACCCTTAACCCAAAACCGCTTAAGTAATTTCGACAATGTCTAGAGGCCTTTCTGGGATCAGACCCTTTTCGGCTGAAGCGTTTAGGGCTTGGGATTTCGGGGTTGGGCCCGGGGTTGAGGTTAAGGGTTGAGGGTCAACGGACCGGGTTCAAGAATCCTGCCAATCGCGAGTGAAACTGGTAGTTGTGTATGAATATGTGCACTATGATGTAGACCAGCAGCACATGGCTTCCAACAGCAGATCCTTCAAGAATCTTGCCAATGTCCATCCTCCTAAGAAATGCTGTTCAGCTTACCCTCACAGCGTGGGAGTCTGCTTCCTAGAGTATCTTTGGGCCGAAACTCGAATGAATCGAGCTCAAGCCTGTCAAGAATGCCATTCGCCAAAACACCGAGACCCTGAAGCGCTAAAACCACTCCAATCCGAGGCCACGTCAGATCGGAAGAGCTCCAAGACCTGTATCCACTTCGAGGCCTTCATTCAGGGCTTTGGGTGTAGAATTGAGTGAGGGTTCGGGGGTTCGGGGTTTAGGGACTAATTAGGGTTTAGCATTTAAGAAATCTTTTTTGGCTGGCGGTGATGGGCTTGAGAGGGTTTTACGCGGGCTTTGCTGGGATTCAAGGGCTTCTGATTCTGATTCAGAAGTGCCTTAGATTTAAATTTAAACGCGCGCTTTCTTCAGAAAGGGTGCCGCGTAAAAATCTCAAACCCAAAAATCCTGAACTCCGAGCCCTAAGCCCAACCTTCTCGGCAGCCGATAGGACCTTGGCTGGAACGGTGCTTCTCTGTTGGGTGAGACTTTGGGAACTTCCTGGTTCATGAGGTTCTGAAGGATGGTGTAGGATTTAGTGCAGGGTGGAGGTTTTGAGGCTTATAAGCTTTAGGCCCAATAGGACTTTTAGGGCTCATAGAGTTCAGGGTTTGAGGCTTTGGCGTTTGCAAGACAGCAGGGTGGCACACTCTGGTAGATGCTTCTTGCAAATGGTCCATGCAGCCTCCTGAGTAACACGAGACCCGTTGTTGACGATGATCGGTAACCTTGAATTCGCGGTACCAAACAAAAGCTTCTAGAACCCCTAGAGATCTCTCCAAGAAACTCGTAATGAAACCTCAAACCATCTTGGAGAAGGTGTACATTGGATCCTACATGCCCTGCTCTCTCCAACCGTCAACCCTAAATTAGAAACCTAAAACCCTATTAGAAGCCCTAAAACATGGACTCCAGGGACCCTAACCCTAAACCCCAAGCCCTGCACCCCCAACAACTTAAACCCAAAACGCCAAACCCCGCAGCACAAACCCCGAGCCCAAACTCCAAACCCATCTCTGCCCCAGCGCCTTCCTTAATAATCCGTAGCATATTTAGATACAATATACCATGAATACTCATCCAGAACGTATTTATATTATAATAACCATTACCCTAATTACCCATCTCTGCCTAGCAGCTGCATTCCGGAGAATGGTGTCGGGCTCCAGCTTCACAACTTTGAGGCCCTCAGAGGCTTTTAAGTTTAGGGTTCAGGGTTCAGGGCTCAGGGCTTGGGGGTTAAGGTTTTGATGTAAGGTCCTGATGAGATTGCTGGGCCCCAAGTATGCAAAGTGTTTTTTTGCCTGTTCTGATCCCCGGATTGTTTTGGGGGGTGCCCAACAACGAGAATGTTTTTCCCAAGCCGTTGTGCAAGGGAAGCCCTGCTAATTCTGGACATGGTCCTGAGACCAAAGTGTAGGTTTCCCGACTAAGCCGCTTATGCAGGGAAGCCAGGCCATCGATTCTCCAAGGGGACGGTTTAGGGTCTCAGCCGACTCACAAAAGCCCAATGATGATAAGGGTTTGGGGGGGTCCCCAACAAGACTAAGCTTTCGGCCTCACCGAAGGGGAGTTGCTGTTCAGAAGCCTCAAGCCTTGAAGAGTCCAGGCCCAGTAGTGGTACGTGAACTGGTACTCCTACGACTCTACAAATACCATTGCGAATACTGGTTACTACCAATCCGGACCGGGACAGCCAAAACAAATCCCGGTCAAACCCTGATTGGAGAAGATGGAGCGGGGGGAGAGGGGTCCCCCCACACTAATTACGACCCGACATCACGGTTCAGAGTTTGGAGTTTAGGGCTCAGGGTTTAGGGGTTAAGGCTTCGGGCCTCCCATGGTCGTGGATGCTCTGGTTCACATGAAACTCAGGGTTTAGGGGTGGGAGCTTAGCGTTCCCAGCGCCTCGACGAATGAGTTCGAGACAGCACTCAACTAATGTGCCCGTCGCTGCACCCCAAAACCCATGTCATAAACTGCAAACCCAAAGCCTCGAAACCCAAACTCTAAACCCCTGGAACACTGTAAATTCTGTAGACGTGAACCCTAACTCTAAACATGTTCAAGCTCGAAACCCACTCAAATCAAAGAAACCTCAAAACCCCCAGGCCCTGAACACCAAGGTAGTATCAAGAATTCCCATACACCCAAGCCCGGAACTGGGCGTGCCTCGAAGGTGCTGAGGGCTTCCTGCCATCGTTGCTCTCGGCCGAGCTTGCTGATGGCCACCTTGGGAAATCGCGCGGAAGCACGGTGTAGTGCTTTGGGACGCTTACGGCGTAAATTTTGAAAGTGTGATACGTTTTCGGGCTTGGGGTCCAGAACTAGTCATGTTTACAGGGCCTCTCTTCCGCCTTGCAGGTACCTAAGCGCTAGGATTCTGGATGTTCAACTTAAGTTTGGGGCTAAGTGACATGGGGCTTGGGACATTTAGCGTATCCCACGATCTAGGCTCCCCTTTACAGCGAATACATCCGCTTGTTTGTGTGGCCTTTTGGAGTCTTGGCCACACGCAGCACGCAATACGACTAAACCCTTAAAGCCTAAACCTAAGTTAAGGTGAAGGTTCAGTGTAATGATTCCTGGATGATTGCAAGTAAGTAGCTTCATCAGGAATTCGGGGAACAGCTGCACCGAAACAAGGCAATTTGTTGCTAGTTCTTGGGGCTTCAAGCCGAAAGACAAAAGCTCCTGCAAACAACCCCCAACAGAATCCCATGCCAACTGTTTCGGACTCCGAACCACCCAAAACCCAACAGTCTCTCTAAACACTGGAATCCATCATGCCTTGGGATCTGAGGTCATGGCAGTCGCTGACTTCAAGTTCCGGACTTCTCCTGCCGCATCGTTCCTCCAGACTGTCAGTTGCCATGGGTTTTTGGAAGTTTGGGTTACGGCGGTTACGGGTTAAGGACTTTGGGACTTTGGGATGAAGAAATGTAACCACCAAGCACTAAACCCTGAACCCGACAGGCTATTCCTGAAACCACTCGCGGAACCCGCCAACTGAATCCCATCCATTCTTTACATCCCGCCAGGCTTGACCTGAACACCGAAACATTTCTTGCAGATCTTAGCCGTAGCCTGAAGCCCAAAGTAAATGCATCCTGCAGACAGGTTTTGCTAGCTCAAAATGAAACCGCTCAAGCTCCGTGGCACGGAGGACGACTTTCTGGCGCAATGAAAGGATGTCGAAAGGTTAGCGATGTAGGGTTTGAGCGTGTAGGCTTTCCGGTACATGGGTGCTGAAAGAGACACAGTAAATCCTCTCAGCCAGTTTGAAGGAGGTAGAATGCTAGCGTCACAGCTAATGCTCACGACACTTGCGACACTTGTGAGGATGACGATGATGATGATGATGATGATGATGATGGTGGTGGCGGTGGTGGTGGTGTTGATGAAGATGATGATGAACGTGTCCAGTGATAGTGATAGTGATGATGATGATGGCCGTGATGATGACCATGACCATGATCATGAAAGATGCTCATAATACTGCCGACGACGATGGTGGTGATGATGGTGATGATGAAAAAGATGATGACGATGATTATGATCATCATTATGCTGCGGACGACGTTGATGATGGTGATGATGGTGATGATGCTGATGATGCTCATGATGGTGATGGTGATGAGGAGGAGGAGGGGGAGGAGGACGTGCACAAAAAAAAACTGTAATCAATAATAACAGTGACAAAAAAATCACGAGCATGACGACCACAATGACGGAATGTCCTCGTCGTCGACAATGACGAGGGCAAGGAGCACGACGACAATACACGAAATAGCACAGTACATTCCGACAACGAGGCAACCAACAACGTGCGTAAACAGTAGGAATGCGGCGATGTAGGGAGCTCTTGCACCTTTCCTATGAGTCCTTGAATCAAGAAAACCGGCACTCCAGCCCAAAGCTTGTGCGATAGAACCGACATCTGCCAACAGAACCGGGAAAACGCAAACGACGGAATTTAGCGCCTTCGATGGCTAGAAGAGACCTTGACACAAGTGTCCATCGGAATCATCTCAGGGCGCATCGTTGAAGAACGTCTAGAGTCTAGGGCTATGCCATAAACCCTGGCCCTGGACAGCCCTCGAAGCCGCGAATGGCCCCGAACCGAGAACATGCAGACGAAGCCCTGAACCCTAAACCCCTAAACCCCTACACTCTAAACCCCAAACCCTAAACCCCTACACTCTAAACACTAAACCCCTACACCCTGAACCCT